GTCAGTCCATTCTTCTCTGGCCTCTGGCAAAAACAAGACATTTAACCCAGAGAACTGCTATAAATATAAGTATATAGTGTAAGAAAACATTTGCACCAGGTCCACACTGGTTTCCAGTAAAGTCTTTTTATTGTTTAGCACACTGTTATGGTTCTTTTGGTTATTGAATTTAGCCAATTAGTCATTTTGGTCATTTTAACAGTCTGTTAAAATCAGCCCACGTACAGTTTGATGGAATAAACAGAAAATGACGGAAAACCTTAAACAGGACTTTCATGTCACTGTGGACAAATTAATGTTTTGGAGAATTCCCCTCGCTCCCCTGAACACATCGTGAAAGTGGTTTGGTTGCAGTTTAAAAGCTTTCCGATCTTCTGCATCAGTTCTCTGGCAGCTTGGCCTCTTTGTCTCACGCTGGCTCTTTGGAGGAGTCACTCTGGATGACCGATTTCAACATCACAGTCTGACACACACACACAAAGAGAGGTAAAAAACACACGAAACAACTAACATCTTTAACTGAAGCAGGAGCAATAATACAACAACAACAACAAGTTGAGCTCTGCACACAGATTTTCATGTAAGTAGCTGTAGACATGTTTTAGCAGTAAAAACAGCAAATTGTAAGTGCAAAAAATGAGAGACAAGCATCCTGGGATGTGTAACTAAAAGCCTGCAGATATTCTCTCTTCCCTAAATCAGTTTCTGGTGTCAGATGTGAGCACTTACTCCACGTATGTGTGAGCCACCCATCTAGTAAAAGCAGCAATCCTTAAATTTCACTGTTTCGATGCTTCTCTTAACTTGTCAAACAATTTCTCTTTAATGAGAATTAATAACAGTTGTCCATCTGGAGCTGATCTATTGCAAAAATGTTTAATCTAGCGTTACAAATATGCACTTCTGGATTTCATGTCTCCCTTTCCTTTAATATTATTGATGACTGTTTGTATAACAAGATTAATGGGGGTTTGGGTCGCTTGTCCATCTCCACTGGAACTGGACGTTATGGCACGATTATCAAAAGATTCTAACAGCAACAAAACACATTTTCTCTCAGAAGACAAGGCTTTAAAATGTCAAGATGCAAGTGTGAAAAACACCTCTGAAAGATCAGTAATCCCTTCTGGATTTCTTTTTTTTTTTTTTATAAAAGAGAGTACTAGAAGTCCTTGGACTCAAACGTAGATCTTCACTTTTATAGCTTTTTCTTCACAGCATAAATCAGTGACACAGAAAATTTCATTTGTAGCGGATGACTTATGGAATGACAACAGAAGGCTGAAGCTGCTTTTGAAGACTGAGGTTGGAGCCTGTAGTGTTGCTTTAGGCACAGCTTGTCCCGTGCGTGTATGTGTGTGTGTGTGTAAAAGCAATGGGATGTAATTGTGTGTCTTTAGCGTGGATTTGATACTATGCGCCTGGATTCAAAGCTGCTTCATAAGCCATAATGTTTTATTTACATGTACACACAGCACAGACTCTTTCTCATCACTGCTGTGCAAATACAGGAAAACAACAAGCTATGTTGAATCTGAATCTAAATGACTTAAATCTGTGCTGGCGGAGTGAGCAGCGTTACAGATCTCGCCATGATGTGTGGCCTGAGATTATGATGTGTGGTTTGAGACTGTTATGTGCGGTTTAAAAGGCCGTGTGAAATGTGGATTCATGTCGGTGACAGTTTGCAGGAAAGACCTATTCCACTCTTTCTTCTCATATTCACCCTATAAATCACCCCAAAGAGTGAACGTTTAAGCTGTAACAAGAGGAAGGGTGGAGAAGCAAATTCTTGTGCGTGTGTGGCTGAAACATGTTTTATTTTTAAGAAATTGATGCAATTAGTGAGAATCACAGCTAATGTTACTGTCATGAGTGGTGTCAGCGTCATTACAGACAAGACAAAAAAAGGTTGATAATCTTGTGCAAAAAAGTACTGTTTGATTGAAATAAACCCTTTATTGTCATGGCCTGGGACCCAGGTCTCGTGTATTTTTTTGTGTTTTGTTGTCTCTCCTGTTACTCCATCTCCCTGTATGTGTTTTGTTTTGTTTTGGTCGCGAGAGGGTTTACGACCCGGAAGTGTTCCTGCACTGGAGGCAGCCACACCGGCCGCTTGTCACCCGCAGCCAGCTGTAGCGGATTACTCTGATCAGGAGCAACCTATTTAAGAGAGTGGCTGAGTTCTAGGCAGCGTGGGATTTTTTTGTGTCAAAGCCATTAAGTACACGCGTCGACTGAGTATCGAGTATCGCGTTTGAATGAGTAAAGACCTCGCTATCAGTTGTGGATCACCTGCTGACTCGTGTGTGTGTTTGTGTCACCAGGAG